ACAGAGCCTGACGCGGGGCTCGAACTCACGACCCTGAGACCATGACCTGAGCCAAAATCAAGAGTCAGATGCTTAACCGACTGAGCCACCCAGGCACTCCAACCTTAGCTTTATTTCTTAAAGCGGACCCCAGGAATTGGCAGCACACGACAGAGTCGGTGCCCGGATGAATCCTGACCGTGGGTCATGCAGGAGCTCTTGGAGAGAGCGGCAATTGCCACAAAGCACATTGGGAGAGCCACCATCAATACAGAATTATCCTCTTTGGACGGCACAGTTATTAGGCTAGGACATTGCCAGGCCCCCAGGTTACGTGCGGCGGCTGATTTAAGAGACAAACTGCTAAACAGGTGTGGTTGCCCCTGCCGGGGCCACGGCTAACCCTCTGCACTCATGACTTAAGTGAACACACACTCGGTATGCTCCTCTCCTTTGGGACGAGCAAGGCTGAGCGAGACGAATGACTCTTTGCAAAGTAGAGCCAGGATTAAAGATTCGCGGAAGTTCAGAATAATTGATTGCAACTAGCAGGAGGTACTTTGGCAGAGATCAGCGCAAATCCTATAAAACAGTTTCAATACCATTTACATCAGTGCAAGCAGGGAGAGATGCACCCCGTCGGGAGCAGCGAGGGACGTGTCTGCGCTTAGAGGTGGCGGAGAGGCCGAGGTGCCCGGATTGAAAGGACCAGAAATCCAGCCCGAAGCAGCAGAGATGGGGTCCCTTGTGGGAAATGGGGGAAACCCAGGCTCCAGGATAAGATGCGCCCCCACACACAGATGGCTGTGTCTTCCAGGGGATGCCTGGCCAGAATCCTCCTCGTGGGCCAGAGACCCTCAACTCCACTCACACATTATTGTTTTCTCTCTGTGGGGGGAGGGGAGGGTGGCGTGGGGGGTGGCGGTTGCAAGAACAAGCAGATTTTGACCAGTGTCTACTCCGGAGTGAGCTCCACCAAGAACTACATGTTGCAGCTTTTCGGCAGACAAACTCCATGTGTTGCAACAAATGGGATGTGAGGGGTTGGGTAAAACCCCATCGCGCATCTCTCTGCTCCCAAACCGCACCGGTCAGCTGCTCATGATGCCCACAGCACAAGCCTCAAGCAAGAGGTACAAGCATCTCTGCCCAAGCGAAGTAAGAAAAAGTCTCAGAATATCTTCCCTCCTAGGAGCCACCCCGAAGAGATGAGAGCTCTCTTGGGGACCTGTCCCCACCTTCCTCCACAAGAACCCCCCAGGAGGAACAAACCCACTGAGGACCACGGATGGTGTCCGAACTCCCAGACTATCCTAATGTGCTCAGCTGTTTGGAGAAGAAAATAAAGGGTTAGGAGACAGACTCCCAGTCTACCTGGGTCCTGACTCTGACCTCATTGCTAATTTTAAAGAATCAAAACGTGGCCGGATACAAAGAAGGAAGTGACAGCTGAACTGAAGCCAACAACAGGGCATCGCACCATAAAATACCTGCGTTTCTCACAGGGCAGGTTGGGGGGGACTGAAGCCCAGGGCTCAGGCAGGTGAGGCGGACCCCAGGGTCCCACGCACCCAAGTCTGTGATTTCAGTTTAATGGGAGTTGCTGGTGGTAAAGAACACAGCACCGCAGAGGAGGGGAACTTCCCGTGGGCACCTGCAGCAGGCTCTCCAGAGCCAGAACCGAGGCCCGGGATCAGCCGCTGTGCGTCCTCTCCGGCCTCCCGGCCTCCCTGCCTCTGACCCTGTGCCCCGAGTCTCCAAGCCTGAGCCTCTCCCACGTGGCTCTTCACAGCCCGTGGTTCTCAGCATTGCCACCTGAGCCCCAGTGTGACTACCTGTCCCCACCGCTGTCCCCACCGCTGACGTGTCCCCTGCACATGTGATCTTCCCTGCACAGCACGTGTTTATTTATTTGTGTGCCGCTGCCTAGAAGGTTCTGGAACATTCGCTCCCTTAGCACTTGAGGAAGGACATCTAGTGGAAAGGGAGGTTTTCGGTGAATGAATGCATGCATGCACGCGTGCGGGTTCTTGCAGTCTGTCCAGGGCTCTAGTGTCACTGCATATTCCCTGTGGGCCACCTAAGAATGTCATGTGACAAATTCGCAAACTGACTGAAAGTAGGATAGACAAGCCCAGGGAAGAAGACATCGAGGTTACCACCAAAAACACAGTGTTGATGTCAGCCTGGCGGTCCAGAAAAAAAACCAGACCCCCCAGTGCGGTCCCCTCCCCGGACGCGAATTCCTTCCCTAAGATCTGTGGACACGGGTGGGTCCGTGGATATGCTTAGCGAGCAAAGCAAATAGCTTCATTATCTAGTTGAAGAGCAGAAATGCAAGCTTGCAATACACCTCCAGCTATTCAGGCGACCACAGTGGCTTACATCGTCAATGAGGGAGCAAGACACGGGAATGCAAAGAAGCCGGGGCCAGGTGCTTGGCGGTCGCAGCCCTCCCTGGATAGAGCAGCAGTGACACCTACTGACCGCTGGCTGCCTCGGGCGGCCGCCATCACAAAAGCGGACGATCAAGTCCGTTTCTCTCTTTTTTGTGGCCTACTCTTGTTTGTTCGTTTGCCAGAAGGGAGGTGGGTGGAGAGATGGGCGAAATGTAACTTCCAGTTACAAGAAAAATAACTCAGGGGAATGAAAAGTACCGCATAGGAATACAATCAATAATACCGTGATACACTTGTCGTGGGGAGCGTCTCATAATACATATAACTGGTGAATTGCTGTATTGTACATCTAGAACTAATTTCATATGTCAGCTACACTTCAATTAAAACAAATTTAATTGTTGAGCCTAAACCCAAGTATTATAAAACTTTGCAAGGGACTCCCCGCCCCCCATTGCAAGTTCCAGGAACTGAGGATTTCAAACCGAATCTAATCACTGCTTATATACAGGGCAGCATGGGAGGTGTTCTCTGCACCCCACCTTCATGCCCGACACCCCCATGCGTGTCCACCTCTGGGATTTTTCCTTGAAGACAGATACCGTGGGACTCGCCATAAATAACTTGGTGGTACTGTAATTTGAATTCTGGGTTCCTGGCTTCTAACCGATGTCTCTCTCAACGCAGATGAATTCTGAATGATACGCGCACCTCCGGGATCCTGCGATTTGGTCCCAGACTGCTACAATACAGCGAGTATCACAATAATGGAAGTCAAATGAATTCTTTGGTTTCCCAGTGCACGTACGACTCATATTTGCTCTGTACTGTAGTCTATTAAGAGTGCAAGTACATTTCTGGACTAAAAAATACTTTATTGCTCAAAACCACTAATCACCATCTAAGCTTTCAGCGAGTCCTAACCTCGGCTCAGAGGTCTTCGTAACAAATACAATAATAATGAAAAAGTTTGAAACATCGCAAGAACCACCAAAATGCGACAGAGACACGACGTGAGCAGATGCTGCTGAAAATCTGGCACGGATAGACTCGCTCGATGCAGGGTACCACAAACCTAAAATCTGTAAGTCTGTCTGCCACGCACAATAAAATGAGGTGTGCCCGTAACTGACCTACCTGTCAGAGCTTGGATGGGGCCCCAGCTAACCAAAATCAGCATGAAATTAAATGTCTATTGGGGCAAAAAAAAAAAAGGGGCGCCTGGGTGGCTCAGTCGTTAAGCGTCTGCCTTCGGCTCAGGTCATGATCCCAGGGTCCTGGGATCGAGCCCCGCATCGGGCTCCCTGCTCCGCGGGAAGCCTGCTTCTCCCTCTCCCACTCCCGCTGCTTGTGTTCCCTCTCCCGCTGTATCTCTCTCTCTGTCAAATAAATAAAATCTAAAAAAAAAAAAAAGGTTTTAAAAAAAAAAAATAAATGTCTATTGGGGCCCCGCTGATTGTCAATGAAAAAAAGTCCCCTAGAGCGTGATCTTCACAGCTACCGCTTCCGGAATGTTCTCAGTACAGGAAGTAAAACGATAGCTGGACATGCGTGAAAGGCTATCTCACCATGAGCTAAGGACCCGGTGATACCAGCTGTGGGAGGCATGGCTTCACCATCCCCGCCTCTGTGCACAAACCACACCCAGCACCAGCCAGCACACGCACCTCTCCCCTCCCTCCTCTCGGTGGGCGCTGACCCTGTGCCCTGGCCGCCAAGGAGGGGACACAGCTCACTGCCCGACAACTTGCGCAATAAGCCAGCCCCTCTGCACATGATATCAGTCAGCACACGGGTATCCTCGACTTAAAGGCAAGCACAGCTGACGTTTAGAGCTTTCTATGTGTTTGAGTTTTTGCATATTTTTGAGAATTCTGCAACCTCTACCTAATGAAGCTGGGGCCCCTGGGGGGTGTCGTGCATCAAGGCTGGGAATAACTGTAATAAATATCATTGCCAATTTTATCCTTTCTAACCCCAACAAGACAATGTTAGGAAAGTAAAGATCCCAAGGTTCTGGCTCCTGGCTTGCCCTCCCATTTCCTTCCTGCCCATGGCTAGCCCCTCAGCACAGGACGGGAGGGGCAGGGGACAGGGGACCACAGCGCCAGGCTAGCCCGGGCCAGTTGGGGGGTTGGGGGGGCAGAGATGCCGAGGCTCCGCACCTGTGAACGGGAGATTTTGGCTTCTAGAATACTGTGGATAGTCTCGTCTGAGATGTGGATGGAAGAGCGAAGCTCGTGGGTTAGCTTGGAGACGTTCTGCATCAAATCTTTGACTTTTACATCTGAAAAACCATCAAAAGGAAGGAAATCTTGTAATAAGAAAAGTCCGGGCTATTATTGACTGTGAAAACATGAATCCATACTAGACCCTGGCAAGGATCGTGCAGCCGGTAATAAACACCGGATGAAGCCACGTCCTCCCCTCTGGAGGAGCCGAGATCAGTCATACCAAAATAAAACAGACCTAGGGTGTGTGGTCTTTCCTGCTCACTTGACCACTCTCTCTGAGACTCGTGTATTTTAGGATTTACTCTAGAAAGATGTTCTTCTTAGAGAAGTGATCAGCTCCTACAGAACTCATTCTTTCCATGTATTTCCTTATCCCACTTTATCTTAACCAAGAGGAGGATCACATAAGGAGTTTCCAGAACTCTCCGCACATGGCCTGTTGGTGCTATGAACTGTACAGATAGAGCGGATGGAAAGCAGAGACTTACAGACACCGCATGGCTTGTCTGGGGAGGCAGGGCCAGGACGACACAAAAGTTTCTCTTCCTCCCCACTCCTGGTTTTGGCCCGCAGGATTCGAGAACTTTCCTTCTTAACCCCAAATACATCAGAACAGCCAAGTTCTGAATACTTTGTCATGTACAGCGTAATTTTCCCTTTGTATACTCTACTTTACTAATGTGTTTGTGTGAGAAAGAACACTTCATTCGTAATTGAGCAAAGCTGGAGGAAGCACATCTTACCCCCCGTCACTGTGAGATTGCTAAGAAAGGTCAGCACGGGATTCCCAGACAACCAGGTCTTCTCGAGGCTCTGGGCCAACCTAAAATGGCAGAAAATTAAAGCGAATTTAGGCAAGATAAAACACCAGAAACAAGGTTGGAGTGAATAATCCTGCCTCCGTTCCCAGGAGATGAGCTGGATGACATCACATTTCCAGAAAGTTCCTCATATAATCAGACACACTGCGTCTCCTGATGCCCTCCAAGCGTGAATGCCCACGCCTGTCACGACTCCGGCACTGTTCCCTTGGAGCCCCTGCCAGGCAAGATGAGTCAGGGGGATGAGGATGCGTGATAAGTGGGTCCTCATAAGTGTGGAAAGAACGGATAGACCAGATCATGGAGCGCGTGAGAAACTGGGATATCAAGGAGTCGATGACCCTTCTTTCTGCGCATAAGACATTTGCAGAATACAAAGTGTGTGACCTCCCCTTCCGCTGGTTTGCTCGTGGAGGACACAGAACAAAATTAGTCCAGGGCGCCTGGGTGGCTCAGTCGGTTAAGCGACTGCCTTCGGCTCAGGTCATGATCCTGGAGTCCCGGGATCGAGTCCCGCATCGGGCTCCCTGCTCGGCGGGGAGTCTGCTTCTCCCTCTGACCCTCCCCCCTCTCATGCTCTCTCTCTATCTCATTCTCTCTCTCAAATAAATAAATAAAATCTTTAAAAAAAAAATTAATCCAATAAGAAGGCAGTTTGAAGACTCTTTGCCTGCTCTTACAAAACATACTGAACACCGTATTACAATCTCGGATCTTTGATCTCACGTCTTGATCATCCGTAAAGCCAGCCTGCGCGCGAATGCCGCTGGTATATTTCACCACTGAAAAACTTACAGTCATGGAAAACTTTGCTATTGCTATATGGTCCGAGATTCACAAACTGCGATTTAGAAACTCAAGACATCTTCTTTATGAAGGAGAACACGGGGGCGGCAGGGGGCCCAAGAGCGTACGTACGAGCGCACATGCTGCCGAGCCAAGTCCAACAGCGGCGGGCATTCACAGTCCTGGTTGGTGGCGTGTTCCAGGCTGCTCTTGAAGCTTTCCAAGGAGCTAGAAAGATTCCTGCTGAGATCTTCACAATTCAGCGGAAGGGGTGAGGACCACATCTTTTGTATGTCCTAGAAAACAGCAGAGATCCAGTTAGAAACACACACACTTGTTCGTCGGAGCTCATGCCTGGCTTCCAGATAAACGCTTGCCCCTCCCCACGGCAAGGACTCCGTGCAATGCAAGCGTTCTGCTCACCTCCTCCCCCTGGGCAAACACAGTGCTGGAGACTGAGGAACGTACAAACAGGTCTGATTGCACCTGCCCCTTGCAGAGTAGCGGAAGGAGCCCTTGGCTGGGTGCCTCGGGATCCCGCCTCTTAGCCCTGGCTCTGCCACAGACCGTCCAGGCGGGGTGGCGTGCTCTCCGAGGCCTGCCAGAGAATGAGCACCATCCAGCTGGCGACCGGGAGTTCATTCATTCCTGGTTTGAAAACTGAGCCTTTGAAGAATTCCCAGCCACAGAACCCACCCCTGAGAAGAAATCGTATGTGGCTGTCCATACATAAAGTGGGTAAAAGCTGGGTCTTCCCTGCCCTGAAGGTCCCTGTCTCCCCCTTGGCGAGGGGCACAGTGAAATCCCCGGTCTAGGCCAGATTCTAAGAGTCCTTGCCTATCTTAGCATCCTCCCTCTCTTTTTTTTAAAGATTTTACTTATTTAGTTGAGAGAGAGCATGAGCGGGGGAAGGGGCAGAGGGAGAGGGAGAAGCAGACTCCCCGCCAAGCAGGGAGCCCGATGCGGGACTCGATCCCAGAACCCTGAGATCATGACGTGAGTCGAAGACAGACGTTTAACCGACTGAGCCACCCAGGCATCCCTGTCTTAGCATCTTCTTTCGAGCATTAACCAGCCTCATGAAAGACCAATCATCTCACAAAAAAAAATTTTAGAATAATACCTATATAAAATACCTATAAAAATGCAAAACATTTATCGTACCCAAAATTAAATGACGCACACAGGTAATGTAAAATTTAAAAGAACTGGAAAAGCAGCACACGTAGGCACGTTTACAGATACACGTGCCAATCCATACCTCCCCTGGACACAGAAATCCTGCCACACAGAACTGAGTCACGTCACCAGAATTTTATCTATGTCATCATATTTTATTTACATCCCCTGACTCTTCCTGATGTTGGAGTCGTGGCCCCAGCTTCTGCCAGTGAAGGGAAGAAAGGATCAAATGTAAGTCGACACTTTCGTAGTATTTCTGCTCAACACAACACGGAAATATTTCCCCCCAAACCACCGTTAGTTTCTCTTGCAAAGGAAAACCGTGTATCATCCCGCTGACCAGAGAGAGCTAAGAGCTGTATTTCCCAAGGAAAGTTAACCGTGGAAGAATACTGAAATGTATCCGAGCCCTGGAGTCGTCTGACACAGCCGAGCAGGATCTGCCTGGGGGCCCGGAGTTGCCAGGGTAACCGGGGAGCACTCACGGGGAGCACTCACACGGGACCAGGGCACCCGGACTCACGCCACCACCAGCACCTCGGAACCACATCACGGGGGAGCCCAACCAGCCAGCAGATCACCACATACCTGGCACCCACTCACTAACTCGCCCAGGATTATGGGTCCCTTTCCAAGTTCACGTTTCCCAATCAATACGGGGGTGAACAGAAATCCTACAGAGCTGTTCGTTCATTCATTCATTCATTCATTCATTCATCCCCTCGCCCCCTACAGGCTTGCATGCCAGGGAGGATGTCAGCCATTGGACAAGGTGGGTGGACGTCCGGGGCCTGTCTCAACAGCCTCCCTCCTCCGTGGAGGCCCCTCCTCCCAGCACACAGGTGCACGGATGCATCTGGGTCAGAACTAGGGGTACAACTCACTTCTGAGAACGTGGGTTGACTAAAACCCACTGCCCTGGAGCTCTGCCCCTGTAGAAAAGAACCTTTCGTTCAGAATTCAGTAATTATATGCTAATTTAATGTAATTCTACTCATTTATAATATTCCTGCTATGGATTTTATTCTTAAATTTAGCGACACAGTAATTTTGAAACATATGGGGTAGTGGAGAAGGACAGTGCATGTCTCTCCCCAGCAGCAGGGACACTGGAAGGAAAGGTCTGGCTTCCTTCATCACAGACACACTGCACTCCGTGAGAGATGTGTCGGGTGCAGAAGCCGAGGCTGTAGTTTGGGGACGGGGTCAGGCCACCAAGCGCACGCGTCCGGGTCTGGCTACAAGAGGTCTGTAATCACGTAGGAACCGATCAGGGACGTGTACCCAGCATGCTTTGCAGAGGCAATGCTGTCCACAGGTGGGTCCAAAGGGCCGTATGTGGGGAGAGGGTCCGAAGCCCCCAGTCCAACTTGGGTTCCGGCCACATTCTCCACGTCTGGACTCACTGGGCACTTGCATCATAATTTAATGCATTTTTATTTCCTGATCTCCGTTTAGCTCCTTACTGCTGTTTTCCACCATTGAGGGTACCGAGCGGACTCAGCCGGGGTGCTCCCTTCCGGTGGGACTCCTCACTGGCACTGAGGCAACCTTCTGTCAGAATGTTTTGTCAGATCCCGGAAAACTAAAAATAGCACGGTGCCTTTGGCTCGCCTCTGAGGGGCACCGGGCACTTCACACCCCGGAGCCTGAGACCACTGATATTTCTAAAAGCCTTGCACTCTTGCAAACCTTGACCCGTCCTGGAGGCTTTGCATCCTGAGATAAGCCAACTCCTATTTTTGTCATCAAAGACCGGAACGCCTGCTCTCTATCCAAACAGATCCAACTGTTGGCAGCCCGAGCTGTTAGTCACGTAGAAATTGGAACCATAAGGCAGTCTTCGAGGCAGCTTTGAAAGCTGGGGGTACTTGCCTTGCTTTATGATTGCAAACCTCACTCGGTACTCAAAAGGCGTCTGTCGGGGGTTTTTTATGGACCCACATTTAATACGGGACAGAGATCTGCGCAACCTGGAAATAAGATTGGGATGGTCTCCATAAATCAGTGTCGGTATGAAAGAGAGCTGGGTCCACATGGTGTCATCCCTGTAGGGACCCCCCAACCCTGCTTCCCGAGCGCATCACCAGTCCTCCCGAGCCTGATGCAGGCCGCCCCCGGCTCCCGCCCCACACCGTATTGGGGGACTTGGCCTAGCACCTCCAGCCTCCCTCCGCGGCACCCTTCTCTCTGCTTGCTGTGATAATCCAACCTGCCCCGGACATGTGTGAAGGTGGCACTGTGGAGACGACATCCAGACGGGCGCTTGTAGAAAGGAAGGCATTCAGTCCATTGCTAGACTCACATCGCTGTCATCCACGCCTCCCCATCAGGTCAGGCCTGCTGATGGGCCCCGTGGCCTTGGCTCGCAGGGGAAGGGAGCCAGCCAAGGGCGAAAGGCACAACCTCGGGCCCAGCTCCAGCTCGAGGCCCCGCGTAGCTGTTCCCTGGGCTTGCGTCCAAGTTCATAAAAGGAAGCCACGAGGCTGGTCCCCTTACAGCTATTGGCTCTCGATGCCCACCACGTGGGCCGTTAGTCAAAACCCACGGTGGGCTGGTGAGTGTTTAATAACTGGCTCTCTGGGAAAGAAGATGTTATTTGTAGAATTCGCCAATTTCCATGGTATAAATGGTGTCACCGTGGCCTCGCCCAAGCCACCACCACGACATCCCTGAACACAGAATCGGTTAGAGATGCACAGCGGTGCACTCCCGTAAGGTACTCCCGCCATATAGGAGCAGGAGATGTGAGCCTTCTCAAGAGCACAGACAATAGTAAAACACACACGGGCGCCCGGAGGGCTCAAGAGGTTAAGTGTCTGCCTTCAACTCCAGTCATGGTCCCAGGGTCCTGGGATGGAGCCCCGCATCAGGCTCCCTGCTCAGCGGGGAGTCTGCTTCTCCCTCTCCCTCCTCCTGCTTGTGCTCTCTCGCCCTGTCTCTGTCTCTCTCTCAAATAAATAAAATCTTAAAAAAAAAAAAAAAAGAACTGAGTCTTCTTGGGGTGCCTGGCTGACTCAGTCAGTAAAGCATTCAACGCTTGATCTCAGGGTCATGAGTTCAAACCCCACGTTGGGCATAGAGATGACTTAATTAAAAAAAGAAAAAAAGGTGGGCACCTGGGTGGCTCAGTTGGTTAAGCATCTGCCTTCGGCTCAGGTCATGATCCCGGGGTCCTGGGATCGAGTCCCACATTGGGCTCCCTTCTCGGCAGGAAGCCTGCTTCTCCCTCTCCCTCTGCTGCTCCCCCCTGCTTGCGCTCTCCCTCTCTTTCTCTTTCTCAAATAAATAAATAATTTTTAAAAAAAAAAACCACACCAAAATAATTAGGAATTGATGAACATTTGTTTTTCACCTAACTTATTGTCACATATGTTCATATCATTTGCTTATCGATGATGTCGAGGTTTAAGAACCAACTTGCAGGGTTCCCAAGAATGGCACATCCGCTCTCACGAGGCAGAGGGGAGGAGGGCCGCCAGCTAGCCTCTGACGTGGCTGAGCGTGGCTGTAGGAACAGAGCCAGCACACTCAGCATGAGCAGACTACCTCGTGTGGCCAGTGGGGATGAAGGTGAAATTCAGGGACATGAGGCGGAAGACAAACCTGGTAGTGGTCGTGTACCACGGTGGCCCCCTGGAGAGCAGGTAAGATCAGACGCCGCGTCCCACCTTGTTTGCAGCTCAGAACAGCACACAGCATGTCCTTGGTCAAGGAAGGGTTTTCTGCAGGAGTAAACACATGGACACGTCATCAGCAAACGATCCTCTCCCCGGTGAGCCGCTCTCCGCAAGTCATTTCTGAAAGACCCAAAAGGATGACAAATTCATAAACGTTTCTTAAATCATCAAAATGCATATTCAGAATATGAAGGGGAAGCTGTTGGGTTCCAGACGTCGGGTTTTTTCTGGATGTAACTGAATGTACAGAAATTAACGCTCCTCCCCCTCCCCACACTGGCTCGTCTTTCCATAGCCCTTTGGGCAGGGTCCCCATTCACTGGGTTTGCCCAGAACAGCCCTGGTTCCCCGACTGCCCCGGAGTAGCTGTGAACAGTGCACTCTTGGATTCCCCAAAGTGCCCCAGTTTGATGGGTGAGTTATTCACATGGTCAATTTGAGGCCCCCTCCCCCACTGTCCCCTACCTCACACCTCACAGCCCACCTCTCCACCTGCTCATAAGGCCTCCAATGGCTCTCGATTCCCTGGCCCAGCCCCCAATTCATCTTCATCTCTGAGTCATGGGGCTCCTCCTAAAGGGACATTGTTATAGTGACTAAGGAAATTCTCAACTTTTCCCTTTGGTGAGCCCTGTTCCTAGGCTCCCAGGGAAGCTACACTTTAACCTTTACCAAGGTCAGAATGACTTCACCAAGGACTTCACCAAACTTCAAAGCAGGGGCTCTGTTTCTGCCCCTAGCACACAGTGTACACCTGCTTCCTTAGCAAATAACCAAAAAGAAACATTTCAAACTAAAGATATGAGTAAAAATCTCCCCAGGTATCCATATCTCCAAAGCCCACAACCTTGCACATACTAAAAGCTTAACATCAAGTTTGTAATTTTCTGGACTATCCTTCCTCATGATGCTTTGAAACTCCTGATGTAACAAAAAACGTACAACTGTGTTAGGAGTCAGTTGGACAGTTAGGTAATCAGGGCCAAGGTCCCCAACAAGAAAATAGGGAGTCAGGACAGCTAAGACAAAACTGCTCTAACATCCCATTTTGCAGCTTAGATAGGACCACACTGACATTCTGCTTTATAACCTTTACAGAAATGACTTCTGCAAAACATCCTAAAATAAGACAATTAACCACAAAAGCATTTGTCAGTATCACGGGCAAGGGGCAGTTAAGACCTAAGCCCCCAGATATCAGCAAAAAAAAGACCATCAGCACATGGACATGAACCTAACAGGTAGACAGATACGTGACCAAAGCCCTGATTGGCACGACTCAGCACATCCCAATTGCTTAAGGAAGTTCAGCAAAAGAGCTCATAAAAACCCCTAAACTTAGAAACTCTGGGGGCAACCCTCTCGGACCCCCCACCTCCCTCTCTGGGAGCTTTATACTCTTGCTCAATAAACTGTGCTTTGCTGTCCACCACACTTGGTCTGATCTACCTCTTCCTTCTTCAAAGCGGCATGACCAAGAACCATAGGCACTAAGGGGATGGAAATCCTCTAACATCTACACCACATGTACCTTCTTGGGAGCCCTCTCTTCCTTAGGAAGACTGTGTATCCCGGGCAGCTGCCCTCACTTGGGCTCAAATAAAACTCTCTTCCTTTTTGCACAATTTCTAAAAGATTTGTTCATTTTGCGTTGATAATAGGAATCTGCCCAAAGGCTGGTGTGGCATCCACAGCCTTGTGCAGCCTCTGGCCGCCCCCATCCCTGCTCATTCCTGGGGCTCCTCCCCACTTCCCAAAGCCACCTGTACCTCCTGCCCTGCCCAGGCCTCCTCTCCTGAGCCTGCCTTTCAGAGCTCTGCCTCAGGACACCTGCCTCCCACCAGCGCTAAGCCCGCCCTGCTGCGCCCCTAGCGGGTAAGTGCACGCTACAGGCTCAGTCAGTGGATCTGGGACTCTTGATCTCAGGGTCCTGAGTTCAAGTCCCATGTTGGATGTAGAGATTACACAAATAAACTTTAAAAAGAATACAGCGTATAATACATATAACATACAAAACACGTGTTAATTGACTGTTTAAATTATGGGTAAGGCTTTCAGTCAACAGTAGGCTTTAGTTAAATTTTGGAGAGTCGGAAGTTATATGTGGATTTTCAACTGCACGAGGGGGTGGAGGCCCCAAACCCCGCATCGCTCAAGGGTCAACCATACACACGATGCAGACTGCGTAGAATATACCCAAAGTCATGCTTTTCAGAAGCAACCACCTGAAAGCTTCATTGGTTAATTTCTCATTAATATTGCGATTTCTCTGAGTTTGAAAACAGATCTCCTTATTGTAAAAAATGCAAAATATGTCTCTTAAGCAATCTGCTATGAAAATATGACACAAAAGGGGTAAAGCGCTATGAAATGCACCCGCATCGTCTTTGGAGACAAAAGGAGCCTCTGCTTTGGAGAAGACATGACAATATGTTCAGGAGTTATGTTATCCAAACCTAATGGGGCATCAGATGCTCCAGGAAAGAACTCACTGACCGTGTGGATTTAGGCAAGGACTAGGTCCACCCTTCGCTTTCCTGCTGTAAACTGAGAAAGCGGGAGAGGTGGGGACTCAGGCCTGATGTTTCTGGAAGGTCAGGTCAGGGAGGATGTGCTAGGCTGTCAGAACTGCCCCTGCATCTAGCACACCCTCCAAGGGACCACCTTCGAGGTCCCTTTCCGGACCCCTCCCCTCTACTCCACCCCCCGCCAGTCCCCCAGGCTCCTCCACTGGACTCCCTGACTTCTTCACTCCCAGGTCCCGGGCAACCCACTCCCATTCTCCGGGCCTCAGTGTGCCAACTGGGGACCCCAGAAGGTCAAAGAAGACAAGTCCCTCTGGTCCAATGAGCCCATCAGGCCACACCCCCTGTCCTCGTGCAGACATTTCTAACAGATTTCAAGTATTAGATCCAGAGGACAAAAAGGACAGCTCTCCTCGTGGTGATACCGAATTTCATTCTGTGACACGCAAATAACTACCATATTTTCAATAGTAACAGTCAGTGATCTGAGCGCTATTCCTTTTGTGTGACGGAAGAGGAGTCACGTGCCCCTTTTGGCCCACCCCACCCCCAAATCCTCACTGGCTGGTGCTTATACCCTTCCCCGGCCTGTCACGGCCCCCTCCTATTCCATAAATGCAGTGACGGTTTAATGAGGAAAGTGGATGACAGTCTGAATGTGACTCCGTCATGCCTGAGTTTTCTTGAAATGAAATAGACAAATTCAAAATTAATTCTGTTGCCAATGTAATGTTCAGTCTGCAACCTTCATTTAGTAGCTGCACTGCAGAATGGCAAAATAAATACAAATCCAGGTATTAACGAACGTTTAATTCATTTAAAAGTCATTACAGTAGACTTTAGCCATTACATTTTGACTGAGAAACGTCAGACTCCTTATGTGTCTGAAGGTGGCTGGGTTCAATGTCAGGTAAGCATTTGGGATGCAGAAAAAAAATGCCATTTGCAATTGACTTGAGCATGCTTCCTGGGGCTGAGAACACGTGTGGCCTGTCCTAAGGTGTGCTTAGATATTCAATGCTTGATAGTCAAAAGAATTGCCAGTGTACACATCTCGAATCGGAAGTAGAGATTTTCTTTTAAAAAAGGGGGGGAAAATCTACATGCCAACTGGGGTTTCACTTACATCGACGAATGTGTCCCTAACTCCGCCACACACGCAGACACACACACATGCACGTACACACACGCACGCACGCATGCACACTCACACACAGAAGCACACACATGCACAGCGCACACACACGCACATGTACATGCACACTCACACACAGCACACACATGCACACGCGCATACACACACGCACGTGTGCATGCACACGCATACACGCAAGCACACACACCTATGCACACGCACATACACACACGTGTGCATGCACACGCACATGCACATGCACATACACACATGCAAGCGCACGCGCACATATACGCCCATGCACGTGCACACGCACACACATGCACACGCAAACACGCATGCATACACATGCATGCATATTCCCTTTTCCTGTTTCTCAGCCTAAACGATTCCTGCGTTGGTCCCTAAATTACTGTTTCTCATCTTCAACTTGCACTGCGCTGGGCAGCCGAGCGCGGGCTGGAACCCACAACACATGAGGCCCAGAGAGGCGACCTGGGTCCCCATCTGGTTTTATTTACCTCCTCCTACCCATGCTTTGAATCAGGCCTGGCTCCCACTCTGGAGGGCTCAGCTGGCAGCTGCCGGGCAGGACTGGGACTCAGCCCGTTTGATCTCGAAGCCCCCGCCCCACTCAGCCTGATTCCCCTTCCTGTGGGCGTGGAGCTGGGTTTTGCCTCACCTGGGATGCCCTAGAGTGATTACTGAGGGCTGCCACCTAGGGGGCGGGGCGGGGGGCGGCGGGGAGGGCAGCCCTGCAGACAGGGAGGCTCAGATCCTCCACTCCTGTCCCTGCACCCACTGTCCCTGCACACTCAGGCCTAATGGCACCAACTCTAGGTCACATAGGCGGCCCACCTGCAAAAATGACGAACCCACGGAGAAACAGCACCGTCACTTTCTGCAGAGTCGCGATGGCTTCCGGGGGCTTCTGAAGCTGCTGGAACATCTGACACATTTCCACACTAAGGAATAAAACAGACAATGGCATGAAAAGGTGAAAATGGGCAAGCAGTGTGAGTCACTGCGGGTTGCAGTAAGTCATCAGAAGCCCCGTCCACGACGGACTCCAGACACACAGACGGCCGTCTAGACCTCTAGGAAATACTAGGCGTCCTGCTCTGGAAGCACCGACTCCGGGGCCAGGAAGCCGGACATCTGCCCTTTCCTTGCCTTCATCCGTTCTCAAATGCAAAGGTCAGTGACCAAAGGGTGGGAAAAAAAACAGGAGCGGAGAAAGTCAGTGGAAAGAAATCTTACGGTTTACTATTTATGTGCAGAGAATTCACTGCAACGGATGCATTTAGTATGTAAAATTCTTATCTTTCAGCAGAAGTTGGTGTAGCGTGCATGCGTGTGTGTGTGGGTGTGTGTGTTTGCACGTGTGTTGGTCTTTATGGAGTCCACTGGTGGTGTTGGAATAACATCGTCCGGACCAATGTGGGTTTTTTTTGTTTTTTTGTTTTTTTGGTTTTTTTTAAAGATTTTATTTATTTATTTGACAGAGAGAGACACAGTGAGAGAGGGAACACAAGCAAGGGGGAGTGGGAGAGGGAGAAGCAAGCTTCCCGCAGAGCAGGGAGCCCGATGCGGGGCTCGATCCCAGGACCCCGGGATCATGACCTGAGCCTACGACTGAGCCACCCAGGCGCCCCAGACCAATGTTTTATTAAGCAGCTGTGCTGTAAGCCCTGAAGGCTGGTTTTCCTTTTGTAATGCAAGTGCCCAGCTTAAACTTTAATTGCAAATGCTTGCATTTCAAAGATATCTCAAAACCACACATAACCAGCCACATCCCATGGAGGCACCTTTGTTTGAAAAATCTTGGTTGATTTTGATAACTGCCCATTCCAGCTGCTCACTTTTTCTCTTCCCGTGCTTTAAATGCCTTCTCTTGGGCTTTAAGTTCACTGATAGAGAGTGAGCCAATGAAACCCTAGGTTCCCACCTTCGGCCCCAAATAAGCAGAAGCCCCAGCCAGCACTCTTTCTAACTGTGACCTCACTTTGCGGCCCCAGGTATGGCATGTAGTTTCCAGAACTCATCCGTCATAAGCCGTTACTTTTGCAGAGGTCCCCGGTGGTGGCCGCTGAGGGCTGGTCCAGCCACAGCGGTGGTTATGGATGAGCTGGTACCACACAGAGCAGGGGCCCTTCCTCAGTTCTACCATCACGCTGACCGAAAGGGCTCAGGAATTCAGATTTACTTTTTTTTTTTTGAACCCCAAATGGCTTTTGTCTCCCTCTGAGATGAGCCAATACTGTTTCCAAAACTCAAAACCATCCTCAACCTCAGACACAACTGAGCATATAAGTAACAGGATCTGTGAAGCACCTGCCAAGGAATTTAACAAAGCGTGTGTGTCTATTCTTTTCTTTTTTTTTTTTTTTTTGACACTGTGGGTCACATCAACTGATGAAGGATACAACTGCCCAAGGAAATGCCCCAAAATTCCTTGAAAAGGAATATCCTTGATGAGGTTCTGAGTCAATGCCACACTCAGAATTCTCCAGAACACTGTGACAAACAGAGCAGGGTTTGTTTGTTTGTTTAAATACAATCCGGGGCGCCTGGGTGGCTCAGTTGGTTAAGCGACTGCCTTCGGCTCAGGTCATGATCCTGGAGTCCCGGGATCGAGTCCCGCATCGGGCTCCCTGCTCAGCAGGGAGTCTGCTTCTCCCTCTGACCCTCCCCCCTCTCATGTGCTCTCTGTCTCTCTCATTCTCTCTGTCTCAGATAAATAAATAAAATCTTTAAAATAAATAAATAAATAAATAAATACAATCCGATATTTTTACAGCATGCTGTTTTAAAATTTACTTTCCACAAAGAATGAAACTTTCTGGAAAAAATAAAAATAAAAAGTTTAAAATCCATCCTGCTTTTTGGGGCTGACTCCGAACAGCCACAGATCCACCCTGCTTCAACACACCTAATGGGATGGGAACAGCCACCTGCCCTGGCAAACGTGGATTTTCTCCAAATGGAGGATTGTTTTTCCGTTGTTGAGAATCCAACCAGTCCTCAGAGAATGCAGTTATCACATGTTAATACGGAAGGTTCACCGTAGTGGTGCTGTGTATATTTATCAGGACAAGAGCGAGCTTACTGATTCAATGCACTTCTGCCTGGGGTGTGGGCCTCCTTGAGGTAATTAAAAACTGGGGTTTTGGGGCACCTGGGTGGCTCAGTCGGTTAAGTGTCCAACTCTTGGTTTCAGCTCAGGTCATGATCTCAGGGTCATGAGATCAAGCCCCGCATCAGGCCCTGCACTCAGCGCAGAGTCTGCTTGAGATTCTCTCTCTCCCCCGCCCTCTACCCTCCCCTCCTGTGCACTCTCTCTCTCTCAAATAAATGAATAAATCTTTAAAAAAAAAAAAAACAGGGTTTCTTCATAGTTATACTAGCAAATTGCAGATTTGAGAGAGTCTGACATTGTTTGATGCTTTTGAAGGTAAGGCAAAATGACACAAAAATCTTCTAGGGAAGCCAGATTCAAGGGCAGTGGGTTGCTCTAAACTAGAGAACAAACAAAATAAAGAGGTTTTATTTTTAGGTATAATAAAAATATGGTGGAACTGGAGAATATTTGGGGGCAGGAAATAGTTATTCCTGAACTGTGTTTTAGTGCCATAGAAAGACAAACATTTATCATCGTCATTTCTGGCCAAATCAAACATGATGGTGTGTAGAGCGATGTATTAATCACCATCTGGTATTACATATCTTGGTAAACTGTGGGATTTTAATTATTACATTTTAGTTGTGCCTAAAAGATCGTGGACCTGGAAGCAAAAGAATCATGATTTCATTTTCTGTACACCCACCAAAGGCTGCCTTCTGTCTCACTCAGTAGGTGTGCCATACTGGGTAAAACACTAAACTGCTCCAAATCTTGGTTTCCCAGCCTCCAACGTGAGGAATGTGGTGTGGCCCAGCATTCCGTAAACTACAGCATGCTCACGGGTCACCTGGGCATCTTGGTAAAGCGTGGGCCCTCGGTGGGCAGGCGTGCGAGGGTTGGGAACCCGCTTTCAGGTAAGCTGCTGGCCCCACGAGCTCCCACTGCAGAACGACGGGCTCCATCAGACCTCAAACCCATGACCAATGGGATGACCTACTTTGGGCATTTGGTGTCTTCCCCATTGAAGAAGCCGATGATAAGAAGAGTGAAAACAGAGAGAGAAGGAAAGCAAGTGATCGCTAAGCAGGAGAACCCTGGGAACCCAGCTTTGTGAGCTTAGTGACTGGGTGGTAGCCACACAGCAAGTCCACGGCCCATTCATTTCCAGTCTTGGGGCACGGTATAAATGCCCTCCCCGGAGACCCAGAAACATGAGATGAAAGATGGAGTCCATGGAGCGGAGGGATTGCCAAGACTGCCTCCGGCTCACATGGAAACTCAGAACAGAGCATATTGTATGGTCTGGGGTCGGAGGTATTGCAGAGATAAAGCCAGAAGCTCTGGAAGTCAGCGTGCAGATTTCGAGGCAGTGATAGTTCCTCATGCCAGGAGACCCTTGTCTCACTGATCAAGGAAATTCTGCCGAGTTAAAAAGGATGGCTGGATTCAAGGTGCAGCCCTATAGCAGCAGAACCAGCAGAAAACAGGCCAAGCTCTCTGTCAGATGAGCGAGTGTTTGGTGGCACCTCCAATCTCCCTATGGGATGAAGAGAAATGTAGGAGCAGGCAGGGGCCATAGACCATCCAAAGGGCACTGTCACACACAGGAAGGATGGACTGGGACAGAGCAGGCTCTTGGAGGCTGCATACCCAGGACACAAATCCTCCAACCTGAGGCAGCAGAAGCTTCTAGAACATGATGAGTAACAGGACCTGAACAGGGCTCCCCTGACCTGCCTCTCAGAGATGGGGGCAGAGCTTGGAGGTGGATCAACCACAGTGTTGGATTGAACCTAAAGAGGGAAAAAGCCAGGGCACCCGGCTGGCTCAGTCAGTGGAGCGCGTGACTCTTGATCGCAGGGTTGTAAGTTTGAGCCCCACATTGGGTGCAGAGATTACTTAAAATCTTTAAAGAGAAAAGAAACCGGGGCGCCTGGGTGGCTTAGTCATTGAGTGTCTGCCTTTGGCTCAGGTCATGATCCCAGGGTCCTGGGATCGAGCCCCGCATCAGGCTCCCTGCTCCACGGGAAGCCTGCTTCTCCCTCTCCCACTCCCCCTACTTGTGTTCCCTCTCTCGCTGTGTCTCTCTCTGTCAAATAAATAAAATCTAAATAAATAAATAAATAGAAAAGAAACCAAGAGCTGCCTGTCCCTTTCCAGGGGTGGTTACAACTGAAAGGACACTTTTCTGCATGGAATACATAGCCTTATATTCTTATTTGCCTACCAAACAGTAGGATCTTTGGCAGCCAGAGTATACAAATACAAAAGCTGTGTATGTACCTCGCTGGGGACAAGTGAATAGAACAAGAAGTTTTTCCTTTTGAAAATAAAATAATGTACTGTCAAACACTGTTGGATAAATCCAAAACCTATCTGAATGCCAAATCACGAGGCAAGTCATGAAGACACTGAACTCAAGTCACTGGATGTTGAAACGAACTCCAGCATGCAATCAAGGTGAAGTAGAGGATCATACTTAACCTGGTTCCAGGCCATTCCTGCAGAGTCCTGTTTTGTAGTCACTGCAAGGGGGCAAAAAGGAAGTGAAACAGGTGTTTCATTACCTTTGATCCATCAGCAGGACCTCTTGCCAATACTCCGTCAATGCAATTAATCCCTTCAGGAATTGCTCGAAACTTGATAACGGCTTGAGGATGTAAGGAAAATCAGCCATCTCCTTTTTGGTCCTGTCTTCTTTTCCCGATGTGATCTTCTTTCCAGTGGTTGCATTAATAAAACTCTCAAAAATGGGCTGGAACAAAGTTCTCCTGGAATTTCTCCACTGAGAGTTGTTTAGGGAAAGTTCCTTCCTCAAGAGAGCCATTCTCCTTAACATGACCTGGACTGCTTCTTCAAGCCGTTGATGAGTTATGTTCTGAATCACAGAGGTGTTGGAAAACAAAGCTCCACTCAGATCATCTCTTGCACCAGAGACCTCCCCAGCTGTTTCTATGGCTTTCAAAAAGCTATCTGGATGCTGAGCTAATGTCAGCAACAGGTTATAGACACTCCAGTCATCCTTCTCTAAGTTACTCCAAAGAGCTTCCAAGGTGAGATCAATCGCCTTTCTCAAGTAAGTCCCAATTTCCATGCTGTCTTGTGATAGCATTTCATCCAAAAACAGGATCACTTCCTGGGTTCTTTCCCACATTGTATCTTGAGGGTAACTATGAGTGGGAAGGGGATTAGGATGTAAGAAGTCTATCTGGTTGATGATATTATTTATAGGAACTAAGGAATCCAAAATTTCTTCCCATGCATTGACAGAATCCATAGCAAATATTCTAGTCCCATTATTAAAAGCTACCACAAGATGCTCCATGGCTCCCAAATTGCTTTTCACAGAAGTTAAAAATTCAGCAATTTCTTTCAAAATATCAGAAAAGTCCTTGGACTGGTTCACATATGAGAATGTGCTTGAAGACATGTTGACAATATCAGAGTCTTGTGAAATATTAAGTTTGACCCCAATCATCCCAAAAGCCAAGTCAAGAAATGGTGTCAACAAGTCGTTTATATTTTCAGATAATAAATGGTCTACATTCCTCAAAGTAGTTAATTCACTCACAACGTTTTGAACACTTTGTCGCAAAACGGGATAGAGACTGCCAAAGAATTTCATAGGGTCAGTGGTATTGGAGATGGAATGAATTTCAAATATGGTGGCCATCTTCCTGGCAACTTTCGTGGCTAGCCCCACAAGTTCCACAGTGGAGGTCACCGAGGTGGCAAGATCTCTCATCTCAGCAATGTCCCTCACCAGCATGGTCAGGGTATCAGACATTTCCAAGAGGGGCTCTGGGGCACCACTTTCTCCACCAGCCCTTGAGATAACACCAAGCAATCTCTTAATAATGTCTAATGTTGCCCTGTTTCTCAGAGGGAATGAATTATTTATAAAGGAAAGCAAACCAGTTAGATTGGAAAGTATAACTTCTCGGAGTGGAGGATACAAGTCACGGAAACCCTCGTGAGGAGAGTTTACCAGTATATCCATGAGACGTGCTAGCTCCGTAGAACTTCCTCTCACAAGTTGAAGAGCTGACCTAAGATTGTGACTGAGTTGGAGGAGATCCTCAGAGCTGTTCGTGTGAAAGAGCAACTGACTCATGACCGCAAGAAACTCCAAATTATTTTCGGTCTTATTTTTCCCTGGGGTTTCCCTTAGAAGAGCATTAAATAAACCTCTCATGAACTTCAGTCCTTGATGATGATCAAAATAAAATTTTCCATTGTCTAAAATAAATGAACTTGTGATTAGATGATTTAGGGTCTCCTTTAAACTTGAGAAAATGCTCATCAGTCTGTCTTCTTTTGAGGTGGTAAGAAATTGATCTGGTGTCAGAATCTCTAGAATTTTATCCTTTGGGACAAAACTGTAAATAAAAATTTTTAAATTTCATTTTTAGCAGTGGAAAGATCAAAACCTAGAGTCATACTTTTGTTTCATAGTAGGCATCATGGGGGGGGGGTCACACTGACTACAAGATGACATGCTAACACACATTCCAGATGAAAATTAATATTTTGGTGCCAAATAATGAAAAGGATGGAGGAATTTCACAGATAATCCCATTACAATGACTCAAACCTAGCCACTTCAAAAGCCACATACTTTTGGTTTTAAAAAAGATGGGAAGGTGAAATCAATATAAATTGCTTCTCACTGCAAGAGGTAACATCTTGCTGAATGTTCAAAGTCCTAGCAAATCGCTCAGACAGGTGATGGCTCTGTAATGTGTCAGCAAGAGCAAGGCTAGGCTGAGGGACGGCCCATTCCCACAAGCTGTCTCGGTCAGCGGTGAGCGACAAGGTGGATTCCCTCAGGAGAGTAGAGGCTGAAAGGAAGTCAGTAGCCAGTTTGCAGCATCAACACTAACCCAGGTGCTGCTGGGAAGAGATTTTGCGGTGTGATTAAAGCCCCTGATGAGTAAACTCAGACTGAGGAAAATGGGATTTTGTCCTGGGTGGGCCTGACTTCATCAGCTGGAGGGCCTTCAGAGCGGGCTTAGAACTTCCCTGACCTAGCAACGCCAAATAGCAACTGCTCTTCTCCCCAGTCATCCCCCACCCCACAACTGTCTCCTGTGGGAGCACGGCTTCCAGACAGCCTGCCTTACTGACTTTACACCTGCTTAGCCAGTGGCCAAAAGCAGAGCAGCCAGGTCCTTGAATTAACTCCTCGATCTGGTTCTACTTCTGTGGTTGAGCCCTGACTGATACAGACATCACAGAATGAACTGGAATATCCGTCCTGCCTTTTCACTGGTAAGCTTCAAATAGAATGAAAAAAAGGCATAGGAAGAAAACATAATGTGACCATCAGTTTTAAAATTTTAGATGAATTGGAATGAAAATATTTAAATGCCTCACTGGTGATGAGACAGTTACTACATCAATTCAAATTATGACCAAGTATGTGCATATACATATATAAAAACTAATGCTTAAGTTCCACATAAAATAGAACTTCATAACTATTTTCATAACCCAAGAATGTAAGAAAGCATAAGTGATTAATCACCAAGGGCTAGGTTTCTATATGTGTTTACTACTTAGATGACAATCATCGAAATTATTTCACCATGATATTTTAATAAAATGTCCATTAAGACAAAATTCACTTCAAAGGTCATCCAAAGGTGATAGGTACGAAAGTGCTGTTACTGATGTTTATACACTCCAGGAAATAAAAATCAATTGTAATATATAACAACCTCATTTACCATACAAAACAAAAGCAGAGGGGTACCTGGATGGCGCAGTCGGTTAAGTGTCCGACTCTTGATTTCCGCTCAGGTCATGATCTCAGGGTTGTGAGATCAAGCCCTGCACCAGGCTCCGCCCTCAGCGTGGAGTCTATGGAGATTTTCTCTCCCTCTCCTTCTGCCCCTCCCTGCCCCCAAGCATTCCCAATCCCTCTCTCACACAAATAATTAAAGAAATGTTAAAAAAAAAAAAAAAGTAGACTCACCCCAACTTTGCAATGATGTCTTTATGGAAGCCTTTTAGCAGAAGAGATATTCTATTCTCAGAATTTTCCTCTAGTAAAAATGAGAAGAATGTTTTTAAAACCTGTTCTATGAAATCCGCTATGCTTCTTGGAGGGAGGATTATTCTCTCACCATTTTCTGACTGTGTCTGGTTCAAGGTGAGCTTCATGAAATTCATTATGTGAAGGTCAGTATCACTTGAATTTAAAGCTGCCTCTGGAGAACTCCCAGCTAACTTACTGATCGAATTAATTAGGAAACTTTCAAAAAGGAATTGAATGAGTGAGAAATTAGTTAGCTGCTCTTGGCTTAGCAGCTGAGTAAGATGGGCAATGTCAAAATTATCTTCCCTAGAAACGGTTTTGAGAAAACTCAAAAAGGTAGCAATATCTTTGGTCAACAAAGCGAGATCATCAGTTGAACTCTCATTGGCCATAAGAAGAAATAATGTTTGAATCATTCCAGAGTCATCTTCCTTTGCCCGTTTACGAAGCCAATTTTTTACGACCAATAGAAAATCTTCAATGACTTCGGATGTGTTCAATGACGATGAGCCCAGGCTTTCAAAAAAATGGGCAAGTTGCAAAGTTAGGTTTTGAAGAGTCTCTGAATTAATCATCTGAATTTCTTTGATAATTTCAGAAAGTAGGGGTCTGATAGGAAAGTCGTGGCTTAGATCTATCATGATTTGTTCAAGCTCAAGCCCTAGCTTCTCAAAGTAAGAAAAGTTGTAAGTTGCTTCTCTTTTTTTAGTAAAACTTGATGATGCTTCTAAATTACTGCCTGTCAGATTGGCATCTAGAAACGTCACAAATGGAGGGTCCAGAGAACGGGTACTATTTTCTAGGTGCTGATCCCCAGAAGGCAATTTCATGATCTTTTCCAAAGTGAAAGAAATCGTATTTCGGAGAGATGCCTCTGTGCCTTCACTAATGTTAAGGATCTTGTTTAAACTAGCTAATCTATCAAGAATGTTTCCATCTAATGGAATTTTTGTAGAGTTAACATTTTTTAATTTTGCTAAGATTTGCGAAGCAATTTGCTTTACGGGGCCACTAGGACAAAGTTCAAAGATGCTGCCATTGCTTTGATTTTCGGACGATGGGACAAATGGTAACACTTTATGCCAAAATTCCTGCATGGTCTTCACAAGCGAAATTTTAACGTGGAAGACTTCAGAAAGCTCTAGAAGAATGGAATTCCAGTGCGCTAGTTCATGAATTACACAGACCATCTTCCTCATAATCTCCTTCTGTGAGCCTTCATCCAAACACTGTAAACCTTCACCTGGGGGAGAGAGGTGGAGGTGGTTGAGGAGACTGGCCACTTTGCCATAAAAGAAAGACGATGTGAGCTCATAGGATTTACAGGCATCTAACTTCGGATTCTGCCAAAACCCAGAAGTTGTGTGATTCCAGCACCAAACCACAGGAAGGCAAGTGAAAGCCTTGGAAAGAATTCCTGATTTCTCTGATATTAATTCAACTGCATCCAAAAGAGTTTTTATCACGATAGCAAAGTCTTCCTTGGTGACATTGGAAATGCTTATGCCATGAAGGAGAGTAAAGTTATAGACATCCTTGAGGACTTCTGTGATGTTTTTGTCAACTCCCCTCTGCAGGAGCCTCACGGCATGAGGAAGCATGTAGTACACGTCTACCACAGCGTTAACATCATCCTTAGGGAACAAGCGTGAGAATTTCAGCAGATGATTAACATTCCAAGAATGTGAGCTGTCTACAAATTTTTCCACCAAGCCCACAAGCAGGTTGGCCCCCAAACTGCCGGTACCGAAGCTACTGATATTCTTAAAGAAATCCATTAGGCTTTCACTCATTTGCTCAAGTTGGTCGACCAGCAGGTCTATGTCTGTCTTCTTGAGAGTGCGCAGGAGAGACGCTACCTTCTTGAAAACTTGAATATCACCTGGATCTTGTGGAATATTGTGAAGAACCGAGGGTGCCAGGGAGTTGAACACATCCCTAATCAGTTGGATACAAAGACCTACAGCATTCATGATTTTGTGTGGAATTATTTGTGGTGGATTTTGGAGATCATGAGAGAAGTTGAAGTCAAGGTAGCTGGCTAAATGATAAAA